GGGGGGTAAAAATAAAACTTTTTCTGGGGGGATGTCCTCTCATATTTTTTCTGAAACATCTGCCACATCTGCCACATCCGGGACAACCCTCTCATTATATCCGTTATTCCTTCCTTTTCTATTGTTTTCTAGTTATTTGGTATATATATTTGTTCTATATGTTGTCCCAGATTGTGGCGGATATATGGGGATTCCTGATCCCCCGCAGGGGCGATATAGGTGGAGCGATAGCGAGATATAGGTACTGCGAGGCCCCCTGGCTGAGGTGGGTGGAGCGGTAGCGACACACACACCCAGACCGACGACTGAAATACCTAAAAGCTTTAACGGCTTTATATCCTAAGATTGTATTTTCGAAGGTGATAAAGTCCAGCTCTGGAAGTTCTGACTTACTTTATGTCACAAAAGGGCCTGGATGACACACTATCAAATGCGGAAAAAAAAGGAAATGGTACAAAGTAGGCCTTTTGGGCATTCAAGAAAGTGCAAGATCAAGTGGAACAAGAATGGAAAGAGAGGAGAGGTAATAAACATCATAAAGACAAGTGCTATTCGAGCGACAAGTAGAGCTCGCACTCATGTAACTCGAGTTGACTTGGGTTGAACTCACACTTGAGTCAGAAATTTCTTGATTCGAGTCAACTAAAATCACATGGTTGATAGTGCTAGCTGAACCTATTTGTAATTCCTGCTGGCATTATGACTATAATGATCTGGATAAATTATAGATAAGTTTTTTGGCCTGCACTTTAGTCCTGACTCGAGTCTTGAACTCGAGTACTCTTTGACTCATTTTACTCGAGTTGACTCATTCTGACTTGAGTCCAAGCTCTGCCAACAAGAAACAAACCTTACATTCAGATCGGTAGGTTCAGAAAAACTTCAAGGCCGCCATAGATGGAGCTTGGACAAGTTCTTTGGAAAAGGAAAAAATATGAGTAAAGAGGTGATACATCCCTCGGTGTGATGAATGTAATCAACTCAGGGAAGGCCTTCAACCAGGTGTTCCAGAAAAGATAGATGAGGCTAAAAAAGAAAGGTGCATCAAACGCCTTGCCTTAAAAGATGTAGTAACGGAGGAAGATGTGATTGATTTCATATAGATATACAGCATAAGGGCGCGATGAAAATAGATGACTACCACTTTTGGAAGCAGATTACATATCATCTGGCAGTGTTGGCCAGTGACCCAAATGACCTCAAATGACTCAAATGACTGGTCACGTGTCATTTGGGTCATTTCAACATTAAATGACAAATGACCTAGTCATTTAAAAATTACATCATAATTCTGGCCAGAACTATTCATACAATTTCACTATTTCATGGATAAAATTTTCACATGATATTAGAAGTTCATAATTCTGGCTGGCATCATTAACTTGGCCTAAATTATAAAGCATTAATTTTAAATAACTCAAATGACAAATGACCTAAATGACTAGGTCATTTATAGGTCATTCGGAGGTCATCTCAAAATGGGCAAATGACCTAGTCATTTGCCATCACTGTCATCTGGTGGTAAACAAGATTGCGGCCCAAAATGTGATTCTGCAGTTTATATCATACAATTCTAATCGGGTTCCAAAAAAAGAGGAGGTTGAGGAATTTAATGCTAATAGTGAAAAGATAAAGGCACGTCATGTGAAAGAAGATAAGATGAAGAGAGTCATCAGTAAGTTAGGTCAGCATAAATCATTGTATTGAAAAGCACTGTAAAATTCGGCGCATTGATCATTGCAATGATTTATGCCAACAAAATACTAAACAATGCACCAATTATTCAGTGCAATGATCATTGTATTGGAAAGTGCATTGATTACTGTGACATAATTCAGCACCTTGATTAGTGTTAAAAGTTTCAGTGCAAATCTGTGACACAAAATTGCAAAGTTTATTTACCTAACTTTAAGTTTATTTTTTATTAAGTTTATTTAGGTATATGGCTTCTTTCTTCGAAGCTGAAGTTTATTTTGCTTCAGTTTCGGTATTATTACTTTATGATTTATCTTTTTATTTTTTTTATTGCTCATACTAATTATGTTTTTTTCTTAACATTCAAACATAGAAATAACATGAAACTTACCCTTCACATTTCAAGTCCAAGAAACTGTCTATAAAAGAAAATAAAAATAGAACGTTAATTAACGCTCTTAAAGTAAAAAAAAATTAAAAATCTAAAAAAGTAAGTCTCTTTTTTATCCTTTTGTTTCTTTTAATTTTTTTAATTTCCCTTTGTTGATTGCGTTTTTTTTTGTAGAAATGGATTGATAATTTGAAAATAGTTCCGATCGGTGGTATTACTAGTCATATGACTTATGGCCAAACCGATTTAGATAATCTTTTTTTAAGAGTTTTAAGAAAATTTTTTCTTTTTTATTTTAGGTAGGGAACTCAGAGTGAAAACGGGATATTAAGGTATTTTTATTAATATTATTTTATTTATCATTATTTTTTTAGGAATGAAATTGACTTTTTCTTTTCATTTAGGAACAGTTCTTTGGCAGATTTCCTAGACTTTCTGAAAAGATAAGTGTTTTTTTGGAGTGTATGATAGCGTAATGGCGTTAGGAAACAATACTAACCCCATTTTTTTTATTCTTTTAGGTCCTTGAACACTCCTGAACGCTTCCTGGAATACAGATTTGAAGGTAGGCAGGTGTGTGCTGTGTATTGGTGTTAGAAAACAATACTAACGCCTTTTTTTTATTCTTTTAGATTCTTGGACGCTTCCTGGAATATAGATTCAAAGGTAGATAGGTATATGGTGTATATTTGCATTAGGAAACAATAATAATGCCTTTTTTTATTATTTTTTTAGGTTATTAGAAGCAAAATTTGCGGTAAGTTTCTTTGAGTGAATGCGTGGTAGTTAATGGCGTTATGATAATATTAATACCTTTTATTTTTTTTAGATCGTTTGTTAGAATTGAACCAACTGGGACTATGACCAAACCATTAACAACAGGTAAAAATGGTAGAATATTTCTATTTTTTTTTAAAGAAGCGTTATATTAACATTTCTTTGTATTTTGTAGGTTCTTCTGGCTTCCCTTTACCATTGGATTCCTAGTAGGTATTTTGAAGTCAATTTTGATTTTTTTTTTGAAGTGCTATATTAACACTTTTTCTTTGTATTTTGTAGGTTTCTTTCAGCTTTCGGCATTGGATATTTGGATATCGGGTAGGCTTTAAAGACGAAAATTTGTTTTTTATTATTTTTTTTGAAGTGTTATACTAACACTTCTTTTATATTTTGTAGATTTCGTTCGGCATTGGATACTGAATACCGAGTATGCTTTAAAAACGAAATTTTTTTTATTATTTTTTTTTGAAATATTAACTAATACTTCTTATATATTTTGTAGGTTTCTGCTTCAATATTTGGCTGCTCATGTGGTAAGTTTCTGGAAATTAATTTCAAAATTATTTATTTATTTTTTTTAAAAGAAACGTTTACTAACGTTTCATTTTTTCTTTTTTACTCGGTATAGATTTCAGCTTTGCATTTAGGTGTTAGATTTTTGGTAAGTTTTGAAGTTATATCATAACTTTAAAACTATTTGTTTTTTTTAAAAGAATCGTTTTATTAACATTTCTTTTTGTTTTTTCTTGTAAGAGCCAATTTTGAATTTAGCTTAAGTTTGGAAGAAAGCAATTTATTATGACACCATAGTCCCGTTCAGGTGTCTTTTTTAAAAATTTCAATTTTTTTTTTTTTTAATATCAGATAAATTTTTTTATTAAATTTTTTTTATTTTAGGAACGATTCAGCTCGGCAATTTCTTGGAATGGATATTTCTTGTAAGACTTGTGAGTTTTAGAAAGGATTTTTTTTAAAAATCTTAATGAAAACGTTATTAAATTAATGTTTCTATCTTATTTTATTTTTAGGAACGGTAGATTTCTTGAAATGGGACTTATCATTATTTACAATAATGTGAGTTTCAGGGGATAATTTAAATTAAATATATACTATAATAGACAGTTAGGTATATGAAAATAAAATAAATACAGTAAAATAAATAAATTAATTAATTAATAAATTAATAAATAAATAGAATAAAATGAAATTAAATAAATAAATTAAATAAAAAAATCTGTGCAATGATTTATGCGATGTAGATAAAACAGTGCGTTGATTGATGCTATTTTTCAACGCGCTGTTCTGTGTTGCCTTCGTAGAATCACATGATTTCACGCTGATCTGTGTTGGCATAAAACAATGCGCAGTTTTATGCGCACTTAACTTACTGATGGTGGAAACTGTGGACAGGCCTAATAAGATAAGGGCAATGGATAACGAATAGGTTTAGTATTATTGGGCATTCATAGAGAAGGTAAGTTTTAAGGGCAGTCGGTCTTCTAGAATGTGGGTTTTTTGGGTTACAGTATGATTTCCTGAATGCCTTTTTCCTGAATATATCTTTTCCCAAAGTCATTTGCCTGAATGCCAATTTTTCAAACTGAATATTTTCCTGAAATATACAATTTCCCAAATCCTTATTTCCCGAATCCCATTTCCTGAAGTCTAATTTCCCGAATCCTTTTATTCCAATATCCTGAATCCCAATATCCCAAATTCAAATATCCTTAATTATAATATTCCGAATTCTAATATTCTGAATGGACAATTTCTTGAATTAATAATAAATTGTATATTTTCTCATATGATTTATAAATAAACTATATAATAAATTTAAAAAATAAGAACTATTGATAAAGACTAATTTCTACCATTTTATATAAAACAATTGAATATGAATTTTATATGTCATAATTATGTAATTTGGGAGTGGCTATTTCAAGCATCCCTTGCCTGTACAAGTATTACAATCAATTGAAGTAAATATGAAGTAAACATAAGGAAATATATATACAATCAATTAGGAAATATTGCATTTTTAGCTAATAAAATTTTTCTCTGACCCACTGAGTTGATAATATTTTCCTAAACATCAAGTAAATATAATTAATTTACATTTTAGGAGAAAAAGATTTGATACAGGTACAAATTTCAAACAGATACTTTGACTGAATAATAAAATCTGCTCGCTTTTGCATTATTTATTTTAAGTATTTGTTTTAATACAAGTTAGTTTATTACATATTATATTTATATACATTATATATAATTTATTGATTAATATACTAAATAAAATAAAGGTTGAGTCTATGAAATTAATAATTCTAATTTATGATGTAAAATTATACAAAATAATAATAAATTCAGTAAAATGTCCATTCAGAATATCAAGGTTCATGATATTGGAATTTGGGATAAAATAATTCAGGATAAAAGAATTCAGGAAATTGGATGTTTCATATAATTCCAGAAATTGAGATTCGGGAAATTGGCATTCAGGAAAATGGAATTTCTGGAAATGATCAATTTCTGGAAATAGGTATTCAGAAAATTGGATTTGGGAAAAGGTATATTCAGGAAATTTGGTATTCAGAAAATGGTCTGACAAGGGGTTTTTTGCTGGATATCGTAGACAGTAAATTTTACAAAAAATGCACATATGTACCACAATGTCAAATTTAGCCTGCAAAATGGCCATTTCAAATTTGTACTTTTTTTTTCTTTCTTTATAGGAGTTAATTTAATTATATGGTTCAACAGTGTAAAGGGTAACTGTTGTTAAATTTAATAACAGAACTAAAGGAGTGGGTTGGTAACTTTGTTTGTAGTTAGAAAGCATAACAAAGGCATGGTATGGCAGGAGTGACATCTATTCAATGTGCATAAATGTAGGTTATACGGATTTTGCCATTTAAGTTCTGCATCTTATACAATAAAATTCGGTAATAAATACCATTTTGAAACTAAAAAAAAAAAAAAATATTAAAATTTTTTTTGGCCGCAGATTGCACTGAATTGAACCGTCTTAACCATCTTAAACTCTAAAGTAAACGTGACGACCACGTTATTTACATAAGTGGACAGAGAAACACTCATGATCACAGTTAGGGATGGCAATGGTCGGTCATTAGGGATGGGGAAGTTCCACAAATGAGCGGCTCAAGCACGGTTCAGAACTGAGAACCGAGCCGGAACCGAGAATCGGTTCCGGTTCTCTAGAACTCAGCCGCTTGACTCGAGCAGTTCAGTTCAGTTTATAATATTATAATAGTCATTTGTTAGAGTCGATTTATGGAGATCAGCGATCAAGTGACTATCAGATGCTATCAGATGATATTATTTTTCGGCAAATACGTCATAAAATAAATATTAAATCATAATTACGTCAATGATTTTTTTTTAAATTTTTTTAAATAATAAAAGGAAATTTAATAAAAAAACTATTTCAATTATTCGTAAATAAAAATTCTAAAATTGTGATGTATTAACAAAATTAATCACCATCTCGAAGGTTAGATACTAAGAGGCAAAGTTTTATAATTCTTACGATTATTTCTTAAAACGTAAGAAATAATTCTTACGATTATTTCTTAAAAACCATTATACGAAAAAATTTACATCCCAATAATCAAAGAACTGAAAAATGGTTGAATTAAACGGGAAAGTTACAATAATTATAAATATACAAAATAGGAAATTTGAATTATTCCTTTATGTTGAAATAATAATTAATCAGTTAAGAAACTTGTATTTGATCCAGTACACTATGAAATTAACAAAATCGGCTTTATAAATATGATGATTTTCCTAAAAAAGAATCTGTAACAGACTAATAGCTGATAAAATAAATACCGATAATCTAAAAAGATGACAAAAAAAAAATCCACTCTCATCTCAAAATGTCATTAAGTGACAAAGAATTTGTTCCCGACCAAGAAGATTTAGTGCTTGAAGATGAAGAGTTTGATGAGGAGTGGGAAGATGTTTTAGATCCTGATGATTCAGCTAGCCAGTTGTCACGTATGAATATAGGATCAGATACTAACATTTCGGATATAACAACTACGTCAGGAAGTGCCGTATGGCAATACTTTTATAAAAATCCGTCATATGCTCCAGGCTATAATATTTGCAAAATATGTTCCAATAGATACAGAATAACAACAAGTGTTAGTACTTTGCGAAAGCATCTTAATAAAAATCGTTTAAGTGTACCTAAGAAAAAACATGTCTTAATTGAAAAAAGGGATCCTTTTGATGAAGAACAACAACAAATTCACGATAAATACCTTACTGATTGGTTGATCTGTGACCTTCAGCCATTCACAGTTGTTGAAAACCATTATTTTAAAATATTCATCAATTTTTTCTGCCCGAGATATATTATTCCTGATAGACATAAGGCAAAAGGTAATTATCTTAAAAAATTTTTTTAAAACTCATAAAATAACATCTAATTTTCTTTCTAATTAAATAGAATTAATAATTGCTACATTTACAAACAGAAGAGATGCAGTTATCAATGAACTCCATAAAATTGAAAAAAAATTCACGTTAACGGCAGATATGTGAACGTCTACCATAAACCGGGAGGCATTTTTAGGACTCACTATCCATTATGTGGATTCCAACTGGAAACTCCAGAATTTTCTTCTAGATATCATCCCTTTTACAGTTAGCCATTCCGGAGCAAATATTGCAAGAGAAATAATGCGAATTTTGGAGGAGTTCAATATTTCCAATAAAATCATCGCGCTCACGACAGATAATGAATCTGCAATGATAGTTTGTGGGAGAGAGATTACTTTAGACATGGATGACGAATTTTCATCCATGATTTTTTCTCACTACCGATGCGCTGCACACGTCCTAAACTTAGGTGTAAAAGAGGGACTAAAATTAGTTAACGATTCCATTAAAAAGGCTCGTAAACTAATGAATAGCATTAAAAATTCGACCCGTCTATGTGATAGTCTTCGTCTCTTATGCAACTTAAAAGAAATGAAGTACCTTAAACCTATTATTGACGTAGAGACGAGCTGGAACTCTACTTACTATATGCTGAGGCGTTTGGAGGTACTTGAACCAGCACTAAATTTACTAGTAGCTGATAATCGATCAATTCATGCCTTTTACCCAAATGATGAAGATTGGATTGCTATCAAAGTAAATAATTTAGAAAATTTTAATTATTATTTTAAAAAAAAAGAATGTAACAATTTTTTTTAAAAAAATACTAATATTACCTATTTTAAATAGAATACGCTCTTGCTTCTTGAACCCCTAGAAAAAGCTACCAAATATTTGTCAGCATCATCCTATCCAACGATGGGTGAGACTCGTTTTATTTTTTCAGGAATCCAGGCACATCTAATGAAAAATATGGAAAATGAGACCTTTACGCAACGCGAAATGGCAACTTTGATACACCAGAAAATAAGACAATATTGGATGATTATGGATAAATCTTCGATTACTTCTGCAATTCTGGACCCTCAAAATAAACTTACAATATTCTTGGATGAGTCAAGAGTAAGTGCTCTCCAACATATTCAAGACACATACAATATATATAAAGGACGGTCCTCACCTATGAATGCAAAACAATATGCTCCTAATAGTACACGCCAGTATTTTGCACGATTGCAACAAATAAATGAAGAAATTGATCAAACCAATGACGAAATTTCTCCTCCAGTAATTCCAGCAATAGAATTTGAAGAACTGAATCGGTATCTTCAACTACCGATTGATGAGGGGACCGATCCTCTCATATGGTGGCAAGCGCATTCTAGCGAATTCCCGGTATTATGTAAAATTGCACGAGATTTTCTTTGTATTCAAGCAACAAGTGTTGCGTCAGAACAAGCCTTTTCGGTAGCTGGAAAAACAATCACTAAAACCCAAAATCGTTTATTGCCAGAAACGGCAAGGGCTTGTTTGTGTATGAAAAGTTGGATTAATAATAAGCTAGTCAAATAATAATTTTTTTTCTTAGCCAGTTAGCCTAGCTGTTATTCAGTTTTTTTTTACTTTACTTTACAATGCCACCAACTCGAATTTTGTTATTTTTCACTGATATTGTAAAAAAAAACATTTTAATAAATATACGAAAGTTGGTCAAATATATTAATATTAAATTTATTTTTTAGTAAAATTTTATAAAATTATCAAAAAAAAATTTTATTTTCAGTTGCGTTTATTTAAATAGTAAATTTTAAGTGTGCAACTTTAAAAAACCAATTAAATTGGCACTATTTTAAGGCGAATACATCTATTACTAAATTAGTAATGAATGTAGATGATTGGTTCATCATTAATTATAAATCAAATTTAACCGACTCGAACCGACTCGAACTGACTCAAACCGACTAGAGCCGTTCCATAAAACTGAGCTCGGAGCCGGCTCCGCCGCTCTGCAGAACCGGAACGGAACCGATGGAACCGTCCCCATCCCTAGTTGTTGTAGGACCCCGGATATCTCCAAAACAGGTCATAAGTCACACTTTTGGCAGATTGGCCCATTTTTTAGGGGCTCAAAAAATCGTTTTTTGTAAATATCTCGGCATCCAGTGGTCCAATTTTGATGAACTTTTTTTTAAATTGTAGAGCTAAATGAGGGCTACAAAATAAAAAAAGTTCATTAAAATTGAATTACTGGATGCTGAGATATTTACAAAAAA